AACATAGTGCCCAGGTGCCCTCAGTTTGTCTTGAATAAATGCTTCTATATTTCTTCTTTCAACATACTTCGCTGCCTAATGAGCTCAGGATACTCATTTCACCCCCCAGAAGTGTCCTTTAACTGACTCCTGAAAGCTATAGGAAGGTCATGGTCAATGTAGGAGAAACCACAGAGCTAGCTGCTCACTCCCTCTGACCACATTTCTGCCAAATGTCCAAGACGCGGTCTACACTAGAAACATGTCCAATATAATTTCCAGGATTAAGTCCTGACTTTGCTCAAGATTTCCACAGAAGGGACTGTGTGAACTTCAGGAAACCGGAGCAAGTATGGTACAATCACTGGGGATCCCTGAGCTCTTTTCAGGAGTCTAAGAGGTCAAACTAAAATGTAAGAATAATAATTTGTTTGCCTTTTCCACTGTGTTGACACTTACATTGATGGTACAAAAGCAATGGTGAGCAAAACTGCTGGCTCCTTAACACAAATCAAGGCAGCAGCACTAAACTGTAGCAGAATTCATTGTATTCTTCACCACTACACAGTTAGTTAAAAACAAACCCCATTTTAATTAAAAAAGTCCTTGATAAGCAATAAAAATTACTAGTTTTAATAAATCTCAACCTTTCAATATGTCTTTTTTACTATTGTGTGTGGTGCAACAGAAGTGTGTATAAAGCACATTTGTATACTTAAGTATGATGGTTATCTTCAGGAAAGGCACTTGTATGACTGAGCTGCAAGCTGAACTAGCCAGTTTTCTTCATGAAATACCATTTTCACTTGAAAGAATGAATGACAAACAAGCTTAGATATTTGACAGACATTTTCTCAAAAGTAAGCTTGTCACTAACAAAGAAAATTGACAATGTTTGTTGCCAATGATATAATTCCAGCTTTCAAGTGAAAATTAGAATTTTGGAAAATTTATATCCAGAGTGAGCTTGACAGCTTCCCAACCTTAAAGATTTTTCTGATGAGACTAATAGTGGTATTGACAGATGTGATATTTAAATATTGTATAATGAAATGCATAAGCATCTGTCCATGTAGGAAAGATCCTAGAGGCCTTAGGCCTGTCCCACTGGCACTTGATGGGTAAAAATCCCTCACTATTTTTATTTTCAGAATACTACAGTAATTATTTAAAAATATATCTACATAATTGTTAGCTAACTTGATTGTAACAAAATTTTCACTCCATGTTATAAGAAAAAGATAAACTCATTCTACACTCACAAATTGTTCTTTGTCAAGTCACACTGAGTACACCAAATTCTTATCATATATAACTAAAAAAAATCAGAATACAATTTAGAAGGAAGAATGGAGACAGAGAAGGAGGCTAGTAGTTAAATATAACTATGAATCGTTTCTATTTTTCTCTAAAATCCACATGATGAATGCAAATGTTAATTTACAAACTCCAAGTATAAAAGAAAAATCCTCTCGCTAGCAAAGAACTCAAATTTTTATCTATCTTAGGAAACAATCAAAAGCATATTTCTTGGTACCAACTTAACATTGTTTAAAAAAAAAGAGAAAAGGTCGGGCACGGTGGCTCACGCCTGTAATCCTAGCTCTCTGGGAGGCCGAGGCGGGCGGATTGTTTGAGTTCAGGAGTTCGAAACCAGCCTGAGCAAGAGCGAGACCCCGTCTCTACTAAAAATAGAAAGAAATTAATTGGACAACTAAAAATATATAGAAAAAACTAGCCAGGCATGGTGGCGCATGCCTGTAGTCCCAGCTACTTGGGAGGCTGAGGCAGGAGGATCGCTTGAGCCCAGGAGTTTGAGGTTGCTGTGAGCTAAGATGACGCCACGGCACTCTAGCCCAGGTAACACAGTGAGACTCTGTCCCCCAAAAAAAAAAAAAGAGAAAAAAGCACTTTTACTTTATCTTTCAATTGACCACTGGCCAACTATAACTTCCCTAGCAACTCACACTTTTATACTCTCTAGTAAATTTAAGTTATATTTAAATTTAATTTCAGTTGAATTTAATTAGTTTAATAACAAATCTAATTAATTAGGTTATACTGGGTATAAGTTATTTGTACTTAAGTTAGGTAAAGCTAGGAGGTTGGAAAGAAAACTAGTTTCCAGTAAAAATCCTGGAGTTGTCATGGTCATTACTCCAGTTATTCATATAAACGAATTCTTCAGAATTTGTCACCAGGGCTGGGCAGGGTGGCTCATGCCTGTAATCCCAGCACTTTCGGTGGCTCGAGACAAGGAGTCTGACACCAGCCTGGGCAACATAGAGACTCTTTCTCTACAAAAAATTTAAAAATTAGCTGGGGGTGGTGGCATGAGCCTGTAATCCCAGCTACTTGAGAGGCTGAGGTGGGAGGATCACTTCAGCCCAGGAGTTCAAGGATGCAGTGAGCTATGATCACGCCACTGCACTCCAACCTGGTGACAGAGTTAGACTCTATCTCAAAACAAACAAACAAACAAAAAATTGTCACCATGCCACTAAAATAAACTCAATTTACCAAATTCTTCATAAATAATTCCCTCAAGAATTAAGTTGGTAATGAAACTGTAAAATTTATGAATAAGTACTGACTGCCCTCTGGTGTTCAAACTAAGGAATAATCCTGTAAACTACTCTTCAGGGAAAAAAAAAAAAGCCCAGGTCCTAAAGAAGTCATCTAGGGTCATTAAAATGAGAGGAGAAATTCTGATCTTGCAAGGTTTTAAACAGCAGTCGTTTAAAAGCAAGACAAAAACTATTAATCAGAACTATCCGATTACTAGTACCAGTAGCCAAAGAGCCTAATCTCAGTCATCAACTGCAACTGGGCAAGAACAAAACATAAATTTGGTAACATTTTTACTATACTTCCTCAACTTGCGCTGGCATAAAAAGGGAGGAAGGGATTCAAACTTCTTTCTACATGATAAAGAATCGGAAAAGGCTTGAATCAAATGCTTCCTCTAGGGGGGCTGGGCGTGGTGGCTCACATCTGTAATTCTAGCACTCTGGGAGGCCGAGGTGGGAGGAAGGCTTGAGCTCAGGAGTTCGAGACTAGCCTGAGCAAGAGTGAGATCCCATCTCCACTAAAAATAGAAAAAAATTAGCCAGCCATGGTGGCATGCACCTGTAGTCCCAGCTACCCAGGAGGCTGAAGCAGGAGGATCACTGGAGTCCATGAGTTCAAGGCTACAGTGAGTTATGATCGTGTCACTGCACTCTCCAGCTTGGGCAACAGAGTAGGGTCCCATCTCTTAAAAAAAAAATTGGATTCAACACAGTAAATGACTTTGTAGTCAAAAAGGCAGACATCAAACCTTTGTGTATCTCGATTTCCCTTACTCATGTTGCTAGATGTTCCCTTACTCATGTTGCTAGATGAAATATGATATACAGGCAAAACTTAATTAGAAAAACTATACATGCCTGCTATTATAATTATGGCCATGTTACCTTTCACTGGCCAAGTACTAATGAAACTCTACAAAGCACACTTGTTTCTTAAATACTAACAGAACTACATTTCTAACCAAATAGAAGTATATATAAGTTACTGGGTGATCAAGATAGAGAACTTTAAATTTCTTTTTTTTTTTTTTTTTAATTTCTCATTTTAATATGCTGAATGATTCTTGTTTTTATTTGAGATAACTAACACACTTGAGCAGTGGGTCTCAAAGTGTGGTCTAGGGACTCCTGGGGATCCCCACTGCTCTTTCAGGAGGTCTCTAAGGTCGGAACTATTTTTTCAAACCATTTTTTTTTTGAGACAGAGTTTTACTCTGTTGCCCAGGCTGGAGCGCAGTGTTGCAATTATAGCTCGCTGCAGCATCAAACTCCTGCACTCAAGCATTTCTCCTGCCTCAGCCTCATGAGTAGCTAGGACTACAGGTGTGCACCACCACGCCCAGCCCCATTTTTTAAACTGATGCATAGCAGATGTACATAGTTTCAGAATACACATGATAATTTAATACATCAATTTGTAAAGATAAAATCAGTGTACTTCAGATATCCACCACCTTAAATATTTGTCTTTTCTTTTTGCTAGAAACATTGGAATTATTCTCTTCCAGCTATTTTAAAATGTACAATAGATAGAACTATTTTTTGTAATAATACTAAGATGTTATTTGCCTTTTTAGTCTCATTATCTCCCAACTGTACAGTTGATGGATCTTCCTTCCAGAGCCTAAATGGTATGTATTATAATAACACAACAGATTGAATGTAGAAGCAGATATGTGAATCCAGCTCTATTCTATTAAACCAGACATTAGAGATTTACAAAATCATGAAATATTCTTCTTGGCCAGGCGTGGTGGCTCATGCCTGTAATCCCAGCACTCTGGGAGGCCAAGGCAGGAGGATTGCTTGAGCTCAGGAGTTCAAGATCAGCCTGAGCAAGAGCGAGACCCCGTCTCTACTAAAAATAGAAAGAAATTAGCTGGACAACTAAAAATATATAGAAAGAATTAGCCAGGCATGATGGTGCATGCCTGTAGTCCCAGCTACTCGAGAGGCTGAGGCAGAAGGATTGCTTCAGCCCAGGAGTTTGAGGTTGCTGTGAACTAGGTGGATGCCATGGCACTCTAGCCCGGGCAACAGAGTGAGACTGTCTCAAAAAAAATAAATAAATAAAATAAAATATTCTTCTCATTTTTATTTTGAGAGCTATTTTTCATTAAAAAAAGTTACATGTGTAATATATAATGGGTTTATCAATGTTATTTTTAAACGAATTGATATTTTTAAATTTCTTGGGTTTAATTTATCAATTAGTAAATATCAGTAATATCAGTAAACATCAATAGATATTAAGTCATACAAACAAAACGCCCTTGGAGCTCTCAACTATCTTAAAGTGTATAATTGGATACTGAGAGCAAAAAGTTTGAGAATTACCAATCTAGAGAGTAGCATACTGAACATGAAAGAATAATTTGTTCTCACAGCTTTAATGGAGGTGAGGATATAACACAAATATCATTTACTAAGAAAAATGAAGGTGATACTCACCAAATTGATCTTCCATGCCACTATTAACCAGTTTAGGAGGTGGAGTACAGTTTCTAAAAAGAGAAAAAGGTAAATTATATGCTTAAACAAAATCCATTACCTTTGTAAAGGAAAATGAAATCAATCACCCCCTAACTCCTTATGCAAAAGGGAAAGTCAAGCCTGGAGGATTAGTTATGCAACACCTCCTTCTGAATGAGTAACTGTTACTAACATTGTGCATTGGCCAGATCCTCATGGAAAGGTAAAGGCCTCAGGCATCTAAGGAGAAGTGCCCCAGCCAACACTTAATAATTCTTTGCTGGCCTCCCATAAACAAAGGCAGGCCAATTGTAACTTTAGGTCTGCAGTCTACGTCTGGCTTCTAACTGGAATTTTAAAAAAAGGTGATTAGGCCATGAGGGCTCTGCCCTCATGGATGGATTAATGACATCCTGGGGAGAGTGGGCTAGTTATAATAATAAAAGCTAGTTCATCCCCATCTTGCTCTCTCCAGGTCCCTTGTCCTTCCATCATGGGATGACACAGCAAGAAGGCTCTCACCAGATGCAAAGCCCCTAGACCTTGGACTTCTTAGCCTCCAGAATTGTAAGAAATAAATTTCTTTTCTTTATAAATTACCCAGTCTGTGGTATTGTTATAGCAACACAAAATGGACTAAGAAAAAGAAAAAACAGTAACTATAATGACAATGGAATCGAATAGTTATTGCTAAACTCCATTGGTGCTCTAGGAAAAGATACCAAAAAGATGAGAGTGATTAACAGTCAACTGAAAGCCAAATGTGAAAGCCACAGGGCCTCCTTGGTAACTTACAAAGAGGCTCTTTTCTCCAGTAGCAGGACAGAAAAAGCTGAAGACCAGGCCCAGGAGTGAATCATTAGAGCAGCCCAGCTCCGAAGAAGGTTACTTTTCAGCCAAGGGAGGTGTGTTATACCAATCAGGGTCCTGATTGGGAAAGAATGAGAATCTAATACATGAGATGAAGCCATCTGAGATGATGCCCATCCAAAATTTCAAATGCCTAGATAAATGCTTAACCCCTGAGAATGCAAAAGTAGGCCACTCTCCCCATATGAGCTAGCACTCTCCTGCTGTATAACTATAATGCATAGGCCTCCCCACCTTACTTCCCAAAAAACAATGCCCCCTCAGGTTTTGCCACCATACCCCCTAGCTAACCACCATGCCTCCTAGCTAACCACCATGCCTCCTAGCTAGCAGGCCCTTAACTTGTAATAAGTAGGTCACAGCATAACCCAGCCTGGATGTGCTGGGCTTGTTAAGGTCAGAAAGGAACTATAAAGTAAAGAAGCTGCAAGACCTAGCCACCATGTACTGGCAGGAGCCAGGAGTACACCCATGACCAAATTCTGAGGGTGGTTGAATATACATGCACTTGAACATAATATAAGATTGAAAAGGGAAATGTTACCAACCACTCTTTGGAGATACAGGATTTAATAGCCGGGCAAAAACCCCGGGATACGGAAGAAGGATTGCTTGAGCCCAGGAGTCTGAAGTCGCTGTGAGCTAGGCTGACGCCACGGCACTCTAGCCCGGGCAAGAAAGTGAGACTCTGTCTCAAAAAAAAAAACAAAACTTTTTTTTTAAGAGGCAACTTTCACTTTAATAAACTTTGCCACTTGCTGCTTCAAAACTGTCTCTTGCTTTCACTCTTCAATCTTGAGAAGACAAGAACCGAGGAGTTTGACAGCCGGTTAACAATACCACTTTCCCTAATTCTGACAAGCTGGAAACCCTGGCCTGAGAAAAGCATGGTGACCAGTGATTTAGATCCCTCAGGAATGAGGGTTTGGGTCCCACCACCAAGTAAGCCATCAAGAGTAGCAAAGGTGCTTGCTGAGGGCAAGAGAAATCTGGACTGGAGAGTGGTGAAGGGAGGTAATAATTATTCACTGTAACCTCCAGACCAGTTGCAACAGCAAGGGCTATAGTTCACCATATTAACTTTCCTCTTGTAAGCATCCCCCAGGAGGAGAGGCCCACCAGAATCCTGGATGAGCTGTCCCCTGAGCACATAAAAGAAAACAGATGAAGGCTGGGCACAGTGGCTGATGCCTGTAATCCTAGCCCTTTGGGAGGTTGAGGCTGGAGGACGACTTGAGGTCAGGAGTTTGAGACCAGCCTGGGCAACATAATGAGACCTCATCTCTTAAAAAAATTTTAAAAAATTAGCTGGGCTTGGTGGTATGTGCCTGTAGTCCTATCTACTTGGGAGGCTCAGGCAGAAGGATCACTTGAACCCAGGAGGAATTTGAGGCTGCAGTGAGCTACAATTGTACCACTGCAGTCCGTCCTGAGCAACAGATACTCTGTCTCTAAATGAAGAAAAAAAGAAAAGGAAGTGAAAAGACAACCCACAGAATGGGAGAAATTTTTGCAAATCATTTATCTGATAAGGAATTTGTATCTAGAAAACATAAAGAACTATAATAACTCAATAATAAAAAAGACAAATACCCAATTTAAAAATGGGCAAAGGATCTGAGTAGACATTTCTCCAAAGAAGATAAACAGTCAACAGGCACATAAAAGAATCTTCATCATCATTACCCTTCAGGGAAATGAAAATCAAAATCACAACGAGGTAAGATTTCACACCCATTATGATGGCTGTAAGACACATAATAACAAGTGTTGGTAAGGATATAGAGAAACTGGAACTCTCATACACTGCTGGTGAGAATGTAAAATGATGCAGCAGATTCGGATGAGTCTAGCAGTTTTCCAAACAGTTAAACATAGTATTTACCATGTGATCCAGCAATTCCACTCCTATGTATATAGCCAAGAGAAATAAAAACATATGTCCACACAAAAACTTGTACATAAATGTTCATAGCAGCATTATTCTTTTTTTATGAGACAGGGTCTTGCTCTGTTGCCCAGGCTAGAGAGCCACGGCATCAACCTAGCTCACAGCAACCTCAAACTCCTGGGCTCAAGTGATCCTCCTGCCTCAGCCTCCTGAGTAGCTGGAACTACAGGCACACACCACACCTGGCTAATTTTTTCTATTTTCAGTAGAGATGGGGTCTTGCTCTTGTTCAACTGGTCTCGAACTTCTGAGCTTAGGTAAATCTCCCGCCTCAGCCTCCCAAAATGCTAGGATTACAGGCATGAGCCACCACGCCCAGCCAAGCATTATTCATAATAGCTTAAAAGGAAAAACTGGCTGGGTATGGTGGCTCACATTTGTAATTCCAGCACTTTGGGAGGTCAAGGCGGGAGGATCATTTGAGCCCAAGTGTTCAGGCTTGCAGTGAGCTATGATCAGACCACTGCACTCCAGCCTGGGCAACAGAACAAGACCCTGTCTCTTTAAAAAAAAATGAAAACCACTCAAGCATGCTAAGTGAAAAAAGCTCATCACAAAGGACCACGTACTGTATGATTCCATGGATATGAAATATCCATAATAGGCAAATGTATAGAGAAAGAAAGTTAGTGGAGGCCTGTGGCTGGGGGGATGGGGAGATTGGTGAGCAGTGGCTAAAGGTAACAGCGTTTTTGGGGGAGTAATAAAAATTTTCTAAAATTGATTGGGGTGATGGCTGTATAACTTTGTAAACATATGAAAAGCCATCAAATTGTACATTTTAAATGAGTAAATTGTATGGTATGGGAATTATATCTCAAATGATGCTATTTTTAAAAAGAAGTAGATCTAAGCAACACAAGGGTGCACTGTGGATACTGTTGTACCGGCTGGATTCCCCCTTCAAGGAATGACCTGTTGCCCAAACAGCTGAGACGGCTGTAGGCAAACAGCCTACAACTGTCAATCCCTTCAGGGACTGTCTCAGGTGAGAAGAGTTGCCTCAAGGAAGATCACATTCTTCTCAGGGGTCCACATCCAATGGAGGCCAGGGTATAAGCCCAGCCATTACAGTACAACAGGAGACAACTCTAACAGACTCTTTTAGCTCCACAGCTTCCTGTGGGGTCCACTAAGGCTCCTGATCAATCTCTACTATAGCTGGACTTCACCCTCTGCCCAAATACTGCTACTCTTCCCATCCCTTCCACAGGTGTTGGTCCCAAGAGCACTTCTAATAAGAATTCTTCACATTGAACTGAGTCTGCTTCAAAGAGAACCCTTCTTACAACAGTACTTTTTTTAAAATAGGGCTTACACTGACAGTTTGCCAGCCATCTGGTACTTTCCAATTCTAATACCAACCTATCAAAATCAAAGATCACAATTTTCCAACACCACATGGTCCTTTTCACATGTTCCAAAGGACTTCATAGACCTCTAATTTCTATATTAGATTATACTGAACTCTTCCAAGCCCATAGTACTCATTTCCTTCTTTTTTTTTTTTTTTTGAGACAGAGTCTTGCTTTGTTGCCCTGGCTAGAGTGAGTGCTGTGGCGTCAGCCTAGCTCACAGCAACCTCAAACTCCTGGGCTCAAGCGATCCTTCTGTCTCAGCCTCCCGAGTAGCTGGGACTACAGGCATGCGCCACCATGCCCGGCTAATTTTTTCTATATATATATATTTTTAATTGTCCAGATAATTTCTTTCTATTTTTTGGTAGAGACGGGGGTCTCACTCTTGCTCAGGCTGGTCTCGAACTCCTGACCTTGAGCGATCCACCCGCCTCCGCCTCCCAGAGTGCTAGGATTACAGGCGTGAGCCACCACGCCCGGCCCATTTCCTTCTTTTGATTGGTGTTATTATAAAGTGGCTCCAAAGTCATTTAACTCTATCTATTGCAATGTTATACAGTACTATTGAAATTAAGTTGATATTAATCTCAACTAGATTGTCTTAAGGTAAGATATTAATTGTAATCACCAGAGCAACCACTAAGAAAACAGACTAGCTGGGAAGTCAAATTATTTAAATGTTAACCTTTCAAAAACCAGTATAAAAGACATTAGAGAAAATAAGAGATTAATAAGGGCTAGAGTCATTAGAAGCCTAAACAAAGTGTGTTCAATTGTGCAAACAAAGCTTCATTGGACCTCTCATGCTAACAGGCCTGAGATGAGCACTTTTGCTTCATATGTAGGTGGCACT